AAAGGCATCAATTCTCCTTCTATCCTCCTTGGTCATTGTCCAACTCTCTGATGCATAACAAATGATTGCAAAGACCATGGCCTGTATCAGATGCAAGATAGCAACAGTAACAATTCTGAATATTGTAGTTTTGTTTTTTTTTTTACTTTATGAGAAGATTGTTAACTGTACTGTGTTCAGAGTGTCTGAACTGTGTAATACTGCTTTATTGGTATTCTCGTGAGATTGGCCTTCTGGTTCTGAGTGGCAGTTACTGCTAGTTGCTACTAAGCTGCATTATTCACAAATCCCCTTTTAACTCAGAAGACCAACATGACCAGTTTAAAAAGTCATTTCTGCTTCCTTGCAGCCAAGGATAGCCATATCCCCCATTTCTAGTCAGTCAAATGTTGACTGGTATCAAAAGGGACAGATCTGTGTATTTATTTTTCTACCTCTGCATTGCCTTTCAGTCCTCCTGGAACTGTACCAGGAGACTAGCAATCATGACTTAAAAGATGTTAAGAAATGAGCGACCCTGGTGTCCCAAAGGGACCTTTAATACTTGTGCCATCCCTGCACTGTTTATGTAAGGACATCTTTTTATGTGAGCAAAAGAAGCTTATTGATTTTTTTTAAAAAGTTATGAATCGGGGGAGCTCTGGTGGCCTAGTGGCAAGGAGCTGCAACTACAATCCCAGAGGCGCATGGTTCGAATCCACCAGATGCTCTGCCGAGGAAGGAGGGACAATCTCCTCCTGTACCAGTCAGATCTGATTTGATGGTACACGCACACAAAAATAATAAAATTTTTAAAAAAAAAGTTATGAATCAAGTCCACAGTGGCATGTTTTGTGTGAGATGTACAAATCTGGTTAGGAACCTAAGAGGAGAGGATGGTGAAAGAACTTTTGTGCTTAAGCTACAGATAAATAGAGCTAGAGCCAAAGTCCCTGAAAACAAGTCATCACAGGAATAAGAAAGGAGTCTAATACTTTCATTAGAATCTAGAACATTTTTAAATAAAAGCTAACTTACTAATTTTAGAGTTCTTGAGATTTGAATACTTTGTCTTGCGAATACTGATCAGATTACCTAACATTTACTGATAAACTAAATAAAAAAGGAGGCGCTCTCAGTGAGAGGAAGGAAGTGGCTGGTTTAGTCATTAACTTCATAGATGGGGTAAGACATCCACATAAACGGGCTGCTATGTCTGGATTCATAAGCTATCTAACTAGATACAAATCTTAGCAGTATCATTATGTTGACCATAACAGACTCTCTGAAGTGACTGAGTTTGTATAAGGACAAAGGGATGGAATAAAGGGAAAGCTGATGGCTGATTCTGAACGCCTGTATGATTAACTACGACAGCAGCTAGAAATCCAGTTTTAAATAAAAGCTTACAGAATAGGGAACAAGTGAAGACAATTACCTGGCATTTTTTGGTGGCATACCCTACATACATTTTTTTTAACTGAGATTTTAATGAAAGTTTATAGAGAACTTGGATTTTCATTCATTCATCATTGCACATTTTCCTCGAAAATGTCCTACATACATTTCAGAATGAATAAGAAATACCTATAATTAAATCCAAGGGTAAACATAATTAGCATAATCTCAAGTCCAAATACTTGCTCAAAAACATAAGACCTAGCGCTGATACTTTAAAATGTTCCTATAGTTACATTTTCACAATGTCTCTACAAATACACTTTTCTTCATTGATGTCATTAAAATATTGGTTGTAGGTCCAGCATCATATGGTGTTAAAAAAATATCAAGGACAAAATTTAATTCTTTACAAACCAAAGGATTTATTCATAACTCTTCTAAATTGGCTTTAAAAAGAAAAGTAAAACATGTTCCTCCTCCTCCCCCCAAACCCCAGAGATTACCTCCAGTATGACTTCCAAGATTTTGCAACAATGGTAGTTTCTTCTACACTCTTAATTCTCTGAAACCCTTTTGGTACAGTGGTTACATGCTCAGCCGCTAACAGAAAGTTCATGGGTTTGAACGATCAGCGACACTGTTGGAGAGATATGGCAGTCTACTTCTGGAAAGATTTACAGCCTTGGGAACCCTATGGGGCACTTTTACTGCATCCTATAGTTATGACAGGAATCATCTCCACAGCTATGGGTTTGGTCTCTGTTGATTTAACTAATTCTCTGTGAAGGCTAAAATATTGCAGAAAGTTGTATCTGTTCCTTTGAAGAGGTTTTTTTTTAAATATCTAAAATTATGTTTCTTGAGACAGTTTCCCATTCATCTTGATTCAGCGTGTTTTTCTTAATGCTGCTTCTGTCTGAAGGAGCATCCTTCCCTAGCCTTGCTTTGCCTCCTGTAGGCTGACGGAGAACAATGGAGCAGCCAATCCACAGAACTCCTGCTTGTGGATGGCTGAAGCCTGGCCATTTTATAGCACCCTGGACATTTCACATCCAGGACATAGGAATCTGAGCTCTGCGCCAGGCTCTTCTTATATTTCCTCTTCTTCTCTTCTGGAGAGGGATAAAGGAGATCCTTCGCAAAAGGCATGTTCGCCTGTGGAGATCACCGTGGAAAGGTGAAGAGTATTTTGTGTGTGTGTGTGTGTGATCTCCTGGCACATGAAGGCATGGCATCCCCCATCACTATTTGTGTGAATTTGTTTGAGTATGACTTTTCTGATGTCCAGGAGAAAGTACACCCTTTTATGAAGCTCCTTCCTGACCCATGAATTCTGTCTTAGATGAGCTGATAGACACAGAATGAGGGATTATCTCTAACAGCTTTCTCATATTTATCGAACCCGGCTACAGCCTCTTCTCGGAGTCCATAACATAAAGGAAGGGAGCCCGCCAGATGAAGATTCTTCATATTATCTATCTGCTAATGCTTCTCCCCACATTCCTAGAGGTTTTGTCCACCATGGATTCTCCGATGTTAAGTAAGGTACAAACCCCATTTCCTCACATTCAGTATATGTAAATAAGGCTTCTTTACAAGAATTCTCTGAAGTCGAAATAAGGCATTAAACCACTTTTCTTTTTTACTTTACAATCACCGCAGTCTTAGGTCTCCTCTCCAATGTGAATTTGTTGGGATTCGGGAAGGAATGTGTGGCAATTAAATGACGTTTCATATTCATAGGAATCCTCTAGAGTATGAGTTCTCTGATGTTTGGCCAGGTCGGCGCTCCAGCTGAAGGATTTGTTACAGACCTCACATACACAGGGCTTCTCCCCCGTGTGAGTGAGCTGATGTAAAACGAGAGAGAAGCTGCGGCTGAAGGTCTTGTCACACTGAGCACACGCGTACGGTTTCTCTCCAGCGTGCATTTTCATGTGCTGCGTGAGGGAGGCGTGCCAAGTGAACACTTTACCGCATTCTTCACATTCATAGAGCTTCTCTCCAGTGTGAATTCTCTGATGCTTAACAAGGAATGAGTGGCAGCGAAAGGCTTTTGAGCATTCGGTACACTCATAGGGCGTTTTGGTCGTATGAATGCTCTGATGTCTTGCAAGGTGTGAGGAACGGCGAAATGTCTTCCCACAGTCAACGCATTCATAGGGTTTCTCCCCTGTGTGTGTAATCTGGTGGCGGAGAAGTTCGGAGCCACTGCTGAAGGCATCCCCACATCTCCTGCACGCGTACTGCTTCTTGCCCACGTGCAGTCTCTGATGCCTGGTGAGGTTTGAGGCCCGGCTGAAGGCCTTTCCACACTCAGGACATTCGTAAGGCTTCTCCCCAGTGTGCGTTCTCTGATGCTCCACGAGGAATGAAAGATAACTGAATGTTTTGCTGCACTCCTTACACGCATGGGGCTTCTTCCCACTATGGATCATCTGATGTTTAACAAGGTTGGAAATCTGGCTGAAGGTTTTGCCACATTCCTTGCACATGTATGGTTTCTCTCCAGTGTGAGTTCTTTGGTGCAGTACAAGCGAAAAGCGCCGTTTGAAGGTTTTCCCGCACTCAAGGCATCCATAGGTCCTCTCCACAGGACTGAGGCTCTGATGTTGAGCCAAAGTTTCTTGAGAGACTGCAACTCGCCTGATATATCCTGGATTTCTCTGGAGTGTCTCGGTATCATCCTCACATTTCCAACTGCTTTTGAAACTGGAATCCTCGGGGCATTGACTTAAAATTCTTTCCATTAACAAATACTTGTATGAACCATCTTCATGAATATAATTTTTTGAAGAATACTCTCTGATTGGACAATTTGAAACTGAAAAATACCAAAAAGACAAGGAAATGTTTTCCTATATTTTGCCCTGTTTGAGTAAAATATGCAACCCCCATCAAAATGTCAAAGCTATCTTTGCAAGAAGTAAAAAAAAAAACCAAAAAAAACCACACCAATCCAGTGACCTAAAGTTAACCTTAAGAAAGGATAAAATAAGCGAGCTCTGGTGGCCTAGTGGCAAGAAGCTGCATTGCAATCTCAGAGGCAAGCAGTTCGAATCCACCAGATACTCTGCTGGAGAAGGAGGAACAATCTCCTCCTGTACCAGTCAGATCTGATTTGACGGTACACACAAAAAATAATGAAATAAAATTTTTTAAAAAAAAAAAAGGATAAAATAGGCCTACGCTGCCTTATTTCAAAGCATTAAGTATAAAAATAATCATGAAAAGAGCTTAATATTGATATGGTAATACACATGTTGGTCAATGAAACAGAACAAAGTCCAGAAATAAATCTATACGTCTATGTTCAAATTGTTTTCTTGTCAAACATTCTTGTAGGTGGTATAGCACTGGTAGTGCAGTCGTACAGAAGTAACTCGTGGTTGCTGTGATGCAAAACACTGTAACACTGATACGTCAAATGCTCAGGCCTTTCGTTCATAGGGTCACTATGAGTCATCTACGACTCGACGGCGCCCAACAACAACATGATCAACTGATTCTTTACAAAAGTACTTATTTCATTAAAGTGCAATAAATATTTTTCTTCAGTACATTGTACTGGGAAAATGAATTCCACATGCAAAAGACTAAATGAGGTCCAAGCCTTATATCATTCACAAAAATCAATTCAAGATGGATCAAGGACCTAGAAGTGAATAGTAAACCCTTACATTCTTATTACAAAATATAAGAGCATTCTAGATCTAATCATAACAATGGATTATCATTGTTTTGGGGTCACCATGAGTTAAAAATGACTCTGGCAATGAGTTTGGTTTGGGATTTTTTTTTATGGTGAGTGGCCGCTGGTTAGGGCTCTGATTCACGGCAGCCCAACATGTAGTAAAATGAAACACTGTCCAGTCCCACTCGATCTTCATGATCAGTTCAGGAGTACGCTGTTGTGATTTTCACAGACTCATATTTTTGGAAGGAGATCAAAAGGCCTTTCTTCCTAGTCTGTCTTAGTCTGGAAGCACCATTCGAGATGCCTTGGCTGGGAATGAAACCCAGTTCTCCTGTTTGTAAAAGCAAGAATTCTACCAGTAACCCCAACCGCAGGCTTTGAGCTCTGATTCATCAAAGTTAACAGAATGAAAAGATAACTAAACTACACAATGGGGGAAAAAATTTTCAGGAACTATTTATCAAAATTTCTGTAACTTAACAAAAAGAATACAAATGATTAAAAATGGGCAAATGACTTAAATACACATAAATTCACCAAAGATGTTCACATAGTCAAGAAGCCCATGGAAAAATTATCTACATCACTAACCATTAGAAAGTGGCTAATCAAGGGGAGCTCTGGTGGCCTAGTGGTAAGGAGCTGCAACTACAATCCCAGAGGCACATGGTTCAAATCCACCAGATTCTCTGACGAGGAAGGAGGGACAATCTCCTCCTGTACCAGTCAGATCTGATTTGACGGTACACTCACACAAAAATAATAAAAAATTTAAAAAAAAAAGAAAGTGGCTAATCAAAACCACTTTATCACCACTAGAATGAAAATAATGAAAAACAAAGCTAGAAAACAACAGGCGTTGATAAGGCTGTGGAAAAACAAGTATCCCATCCATCCATCCATTTTGGTGGGAAGGCTAAATAGTACAATCTACGGATGAATACTGAAATCATACTGAGCAAAAGTAGTTCATTCCAAAAGGACAAATAAGTATATGATCTCATGTGCATAACATAAGCAAATGTATAGAAACCAAAGATGATTAGTGGTTAAGAGAGAGGAGGTTATAGAGGAAGTGAAGAGGGAAAGGAGAGCAAGTTTGTGTAGAGGACAGTTTATGTCAATGATGGTAAAATAATGTGGAAAAGTATAAGGTTCTCAAACCTGAAAAATGTAAAAGGTATCACTGAAATACACATGCACAAATTGCTGAACTGCCAAATGTTTTGTTGTGTTTATTTTCCTCATGATAAATATTTTATACTTAAAAGCCATGTCTCCCTTTTAAAAAAAATCATTAAACTATGGCAAAAAAATTATCATAAATTATACAGCATCCCTTTTCCAGCAGGAAGATGCAACAGGTTCAAATTGTCTTCCTGTCAAACATTCTTCTAGGTGGTATAGCACTGGTCTGTGCGTTGCTGTACAGAGGTAACTCGTGGTTGCTGTGATGCTGAAGCCTGTGACAGTGATGTGCTAATCGTGGTAATGGGCACCCATGGTGGACAGTGTTGGCTGGAGCTTCCCGACTAAATCAAGCCTGGAAGCAGGAGCGGCATCCACTTCCAAAACGGCTTGCCTCCGGAAACTCTATGTACGAACAGTGCTCAGGCTGTTCGTTCATAGGGTCACTATAAGTCGTCTACGACTCGACGGCATTATACAACAACAACAACATATGACTTTTACATCTGTCATATGTGACTATGAAATCTAAAAGTATATCCCATACATTCAGAAAATGTCAGACAAAGGATAGGCATGAGTAGATAAAACAAACCTACTGGAGTCCAGTCAATCACTGCAACCCTAGAGGACAGAAAGAAAAAGCCCCATCGGGTGTCCAAGGCTGCAGATCTTTGCAAAGCCAACTGCCACATTATTCTCCCACAAAGCAGACTGTGAGTTCAAACACACGATCTGTTGTAGACTCCAACTCTGCAGCAGAGATTTTCGAAGAGAGTTAACTTTCCCTAATGGGACTGTAACAACAACAATGGGATTGCGCACTTGTTCAAGTTTTCTTCCAGTTTTAATATCTGTGTATATACTGAGGCGGAACACACATATCTAACACTGGTAAACCTTCCTGGTTAACTTACTATAAAATCATCTCCAGTAGCATATTTCATCTTAAGTTTTATTTTTTCTACTACTTATAGAGCTATACTTTCCTTTAAAATAAGCATGAAAAGAACATGGAAAGAATGTGGGCAGCCAAATTTTAAACTAAATGTTAAACCAAATGCTTAACAAGGAATTAAGGGAGGTGCAAATACAAGCTGGAATCCCTGCAGAGACAGGAGCACAGGAATCATGTGCCAAGGCAGACCTAACAGCGCCTTTTCAATTTTTAGATTGTATTTACAAATCCCTCCTTTCTGAGACAAGAACTCTCTTTGTGATTTGCTCCCTGGCGATTTTCAATAAAGTTAGAGGGAAGCTAGGTTCTGGGCTTCTGTCTTCGAGTGATTCACCCTGCCTTTAAGCTCTCTGTTCTTTTTCTCCATTCTTGGTGTCCCCATCTCACTTTTTCTCAGTCCTGGGTCGACAACATGTGTCTTCTATAAATCATATCATAAATGAAGATATGAAGTCTCCTTGCACTTGCTCCATCTGTGACTTCAGCCCACATCAATACCTTCTTTCCACATTCTTCGTACATCCCACCATCCTCCAGGTCACTCACTGTCAAACGTAATATTAGGTCCACATTGTCTTTAAAACCTCACAGGGCTCAGTTTCCAAGGTTTCCTTCAGCATTCATTCTAAGCTGCTGCTGCTTTCTAAACAATTCTCCTTTCTCTTCATAGGACCACTTTCTAAAGGTTACTGTAGCTCTCCAGTAAAGGTTTTACTTCAGAATCAACTGTTGGACTTAAGAAACTCGTCAAAAAGTAATAAATTTAAGCTCTAGAAATCAGCTGTTAGACTCTTCAAGAGTAGAGCAGTCTCATCTTTATATTTAAAGAGCTTCATAAAAGAAAAGCTCATTCAGAGCACTTTTCTTTCAATCCCATGGTTTCTCTGGCTTACTTATGTAACAGTCCAATTTCTAAATCTCTAACATGGTTTTCTTAGAAGATCTATTCCAACAGACTCCTGTACATCTTCAGGTGAAAGTATCATCCTCTGTTCACACCATATTCCAAACAAATTTCACCACAACTGAGTCTTTTCTCGTTTTTTCTATTACTATTACTACTGTTACTATCACTACTGTATGCCATTGAGTCAGAACCAAACCATGGCTGACCCTTCAGTGGGTTTTCAGAGGCATTTAGTGACATGGGAGGAAACTGTCCATCCTTCTCCCACGGAGTAGCAGGTGGATTTGAACTGCATGCCTTTGGGATTGCAATGCAGTTTCTTACCACTGTCCCTTACCAAATTATCCAGGACTGAAATAAGAACTGGAAATGCCTTCTCTCACTCTGTGAACTGCCAATCTGAGGATCAATAATACAATTTTTTAAAAAAATTTACAGATACATTTCATTAGTTTATAAATTCCTTGATTACACTGATATATGTACTTTTGGTTTCCCCAAACAAGGTAATTATATAAATACAAATATACAGATATGAACGCAAATAGGTATATGTGTGTGTGTGCGTGTGTGTGTGTGTATTTATAGAGAGGGGCATCATGCTAGGGAGGGTGGAGGGACAGCGTAGGAGGGCAAGGCCCTCTATGAGGTGGATTGATGCATTGACTGGGGTATTTGGGATGGGTGTGTCGGAGGCAGTGCGATTGGCACAGGATAGAGCAGGGTTTAGGGCCGTTGTACATAGGGTGCTATGAGTTGCAAGCGACTCGA